ATTGTTTGTTTCATTGAGTACGAGGGACAACCTCCCTCGCCCATCCTTGTGGGAATTCTATAGACAAAACTCCGCCGTCTGCCTTGGCCAGGGTTTCCAGACGCAACGCATGCCAACTAAATAAGACGAAACTCAGAAATCGAAACCTCTGCTTTTTTTTCCAATTCTTCTCCAAACAATAGGGTATCCAGAAGAAAAATCGACTGCGTAATCAGCATAGCCTACCCACTCTCGCAGAAATCTCAGCCTCGCATGGCTTGCACCTTGTCTGAACCACAACGTGTTCCTTGCTCCCGATGGGCAACACCCGCAGCCACTCGGGCGCCACCTCGTTCGCGATCAGCTTCACTGTACACACACCCTCCTCAATGGGCATCGGTACCCTCAATGACTCCTTCAGCTTCTGCTGAAGCACACTCATGGGGAAAGACTTGACGGGTGCCTTGCCGGGGTTGGAAGAGTTCACCAACATGCCAATGATGGCAGACACGTCAGACACATGCTGCAAAGCCCGCTTCCTCGTAATCTCAGGCCCCGAAGGCGCGTCGAGCTGCGCGGCCGCGAGTTCCTTCGCACGAAGCCGGTCGAGCAGGCTCATTTTGCTGCCGTCGGCGTTGGTAATGGGTTCCTTGGCGGCTTGCGCCTTGGCCTCCTTCTCCTGCTGCTTCACAACGAAGCCGTGCTTGAGCTCCGTCAATGCGCGCTGGCCCTTGGCTAGCAGGGGGTTCTGCTTCATGGCAGAGAGGTGGTGACGCATGGTGATGTCTGCCTTGGGGAGGTCGTTGAAAGATAGGCTTTCAAAGGAGACGTCGAGATCGGACATCTCATCTGTCGCGCGCTCGGCACACAGGGCATGCAGATTCTCCTGAAACTGCTTGCAGAGGCTGTCCTCGTCGATGCGGCCGGTCCCCCGCTCCGTGTCGATTTCGAGGGCACAGCTTGCCGCGTCCGTAATCGGTGATGATGAAGGGCGAAGCGGTCGCGTTTGTGGGCGTCCTTCTTCAGGTCCTGGATGGCAACGCAGCGTCGAATGTCGTCAATGGTGACATTGCGCTTGCCCCAGGTGCGAGACACGTCTGGCGTGATGCCTTGATGTCAATTGACGGGTTGCTCTTCTGATGCGAATCTGGCAGGTCCACCGTCTTGAGAATATCCTGCTGCAGGATAGCATTTCAGTC